AAAAAAATCGGAATTGGGTCACTTCAGGCTGCAGTGTGAACGTAGCCTTACTGAAGGCGAGTCTGACAGAGGAAAAGTTGCAAGTAAGCTTGTATGAGTGATGCAAGCAGCAACTTTTAAACAGAGCGTGCACAAGGAGAAACGGGCTCTCGCACGCGTTTATTAGGTGTTCTCTCTCGTTAGTGAGTAAAGGGTTGTGCGTGTGATTTTTTTTTTTTTTTTAAAGGTGGAGAGGGTAGACTTTTCAAAAATTCGCGAAAATCCTCCACTATACCTTTCAGGCCCACCTGAAGTGAATAAAATTATATTAAATAAGTTAAGTTGTTCATTGAAACAATGAAATTAAAATTGTAATATTTCAAATTGCAATAAATCAATATATACATTTCAATTTATGACATTAAATAATAACAATAATAGCATTTTTTTATTGAGTTCATGGCTTTTGTGCAACGAATTCATCATGAAATGATTCAAACCAATCCTGGCCTATTAGCTCAGTGGGCGGGACTAGCGCTGCGTCCCAGGAAAACCTTACGCCTGGCTAGACATGCGGCTTAAAATGTACGTTTTCATGGTTACTACACACCAAACAGAGGACTAATTCAAAGTGACTGGGATTTCACCAATTCACCACTGGGTAGATGTGTTCGATTAATGAAAGAAAGACGGCGAGCGTTTGACCAACCTTGATGGCCGGGTAGGTCTTAGTGGTGTCGTTGCTCTTCTCTCCTGGAATGCTGCCGGCCGAGCGGCCTTCGCATTTATACCGAAACCTCATCCCCCTCTGCTTGGGCTGCTCGATGATCTCTATGTAAGGGTTCGCAGTTTGGACTGATGGGAGAGACGAAGACAGCAGAGACACTTGGAATTTCACTCTGGGTAAGCAAACACTCAATAAAAGCTGTTTAAATACATTAGTTTAAGTGTTGTGTTTGATTGTTGTGGTTAAAAAACACGTATATATGTGAGATCAGATGTTTTATCTGTGAGAATTATAGTTTAGAAGTTACGAATGAAAGTTGCAACTTTGCAAAAATACAAAACACACATTTCTGAGTATGAATTAACGACCCATAATGAATCAATTACACCCCAAACCAGTTGGTGGCAGTAATGCACCTGAAGGTTATTTGCCACAAACTTTTAAACTAAATGTTTTTTTGTCCTTTTGTCCATCCAGCGTACGTTGAATCTTCGCTGGAAGGTTTTCAACACATATGCAGTTGAAAGTTTAACTTTTTTTGTATTCCTCCTCTTCTTTAAAGACGGTTCGGGAACCTTTTGGTGCAATAACGCCGAAAACTGGTAAATAGGGTAACAGTTTCACCAGCAGTTATTTTTTATTTGCAAATGTGGGAGATGAACGAGAAAATTGGAGTTATAACAAAGAATTTTGATTTTGTGTTCGAAAATTTGGAATTATAATGAGAAATTTGGAATTGGGATGAGAAACGTGGATTCATACTTTTAAATTGGTGATCAGTGATTGTAAATTATGGATTTTAAAGAGAAATTGGGATTAAAACAACAAATTTGTTTTTTCATACTTGTTATTGTGGGATTCTAATTAGAAATAAATGTTTATAATAA